ACACACACATATATATATATATCTGCCTGCGAAGCTGACGCATAAACTAATACTATCACAATATATATACACATCCCTGTGAAGCTGACGAGAACATGTATGTGGCCCTGCACAATCGATCTCTGATCAAAGTGCACGGTGTGGACAGTGTGAAACTACTGCAGAACCTCACCACGAACGATGTCAATAGACTGCGGCACCGCGAGACTGACCAAGGTATTGTGAAGCTGCGTTGGCTTAGTACGTGTTATTGTGAAGCTTTGTTGGTTTAGTACGTGTTATTGTGCAACGATCGTTGACTTAGTACGAGTTACTATGAAATTCGATCCAATAGGGTCTTTGGCGGGTTGCACACTGCGGTTGTATGTTTCAACAGCAATCGTTTGCTGCTATGTTTCATGCTTTACGCAAAACATACCGGCTTCAGTACGGAGACAGGGAAACTATCCTCATCCGTCTTATCACCACTAACTTATTAGGGCTACACGAATGCATCCGCTTATCGAACTCGTATACACTGTTTGCCCGTCACGTACAGAAATTAAACGTGTATTTTCCTGTGGGATGACTCAACATGTCTGGACCTTCCACACTCTAAAGTGCCACAACCCACACCCCCCCACAGACCCCACCGCACCACCAGCACCCTCAGCCATCAGTTCGGCTATTCTCAACAACTTGGGCCGCGTGTTGTTCGATGTGATAATATATGGCCCCGCAGACGCAGCTGCCAACGAGTTTTATGTCGAGTGTGAGCAGGACGCACGCGACGACCTCGTCAAGCACTTCAAGAAGTACAAGTTACGCTCGAAGGTCAAATTCGCTGTCGAAGACGGTTTGGAGGTAACAGCGTTTGTTGGCAAAAAGGCAGCAGATCTGGCCCTCCAGTATTCAAAGTATGTGTGCGTGATCGTACCGTGTAAACACGCTTTACTGTAGTCTGACACGCTTTACTATTGTCTCACACACTGTACTATCATCTGATACATTTTGATTTTCTATTGCCTGACACGCTTTGCTACTGACCAAACCCGCTTTACAATTGTCTGACACACTTTACGTCTGTCTGACACTCTCTTATGTGAACTAGGAATACGAACGAGATAGCAGTGACCGATCCACGCCACCCTGGCCTGGGCACGCGCGCAATGGTTCCCACAGTCGCGGCGGCGGATGTCGGCGTCAGCCTCACGTCACCGGACTTTATGAGTAACCTGGTAGAAGGCACACTGACAGACTATGTGCGATGCAGGTGAGTGCTGTAGGCTATATCACACTCTTCTCGGGGGATGATTGGGGGTGTGCTGGTTGCTGGGTTGCATAAAAGTGCTTGGATAGTATTGCACACCCGTCTGTCAATGTCTCGTATCTCAAGACTCGTTTTCACAGCTAGCTCAGTATGGAATGCACACCTGTGAGACTGAGTATGTTGCACTCGCACATTTTAATAATGCGTAGCGAGATGGCCCATCCCTCCCACATGCGACGCATTTGTCACACATGCAACAGTTCTCGTTGGGTAGTCTGGCTGCCGGATCAGTTTCGTTTCAAGCGCATTGAGTGAATAGAGTGCTACGCTACAGCTCGCCAAGACAGGCACGCGAATACACACTTCAGGGTCTCTGATATCCACCAACCTTCAATACCGTGTACCACAATCTCTGTCTCAGATATCATGTGGGCGTACCTGAGGGCTTGGTTGAGATCACGAAAGAAGAGGCATTCCCGCTCGAGTCGAACTTCGATGTGTTGAACGGAAGTATGTGAAGTCGGCCTGAACGATCAGACGACCTAAACTCAAAATATGTGCAGTGTTGAGCTGTACGATAGTAATTGGCAGTGTGTGTGTATACTGTTGTTGTCATGATGCAATACATTACTCAGATACAAAGGAAAATCTTCAGTGGAATCGTCCGGGATGGTTACCGTATCTCTCCGCGTTTCTTGTCACACTCCTCCTTCTCCTTCCGTAGCTTTCTAATTGTTCTGTGCCTGACAACACATGGTACAGTTGACTTCGACAAGGGGTGCTACATTGGGCAGGAGCTGACAGCGCGTGCGAAGTTTGTAGGCGTCACGCGGAAACGACTTCTGCCAGTCACCATACAGCCTGCGCTTAACCCAGAGACAGCGTAAGTCTCGCGTTTCGAGCTCGTTTTGTACATGCGCGTGTTCGCATGTGTGTACATACGCATTAAGCCAATAGTATAATGTTCAGCTCCGTGAGTGTCTACGGATCATAAAGACAGCGCACCAAACCAATCATCTGTGTTGTGCATACTATCGGGAGATCAAGCCAACATCGGTCGGCTGTGAAACTGATCAGACGGAGCTTCTCGCCTCATACAAGGCTAAAGCGTCTATTAACGACCTTAATTCTACCGTCGTAGTATACAATAACCGTACCTCACCTTGAGACCATATTGTGTACCTTGATTCATTCTCGGTAAGCTATACACATGGTCGCTCAAGGCTGTATTCATCGCATATAACAGACCCCTCAGCGGGACCAAGATATACCACAAAGGGAAATCGGTAGGGAAGTTCAAGCGCGGCATTGACAGCGACGGAATGGCCTTGCTGCGATTGTCAGTGTAAGTGTTTACTGCGACTGTTAATGTAAGCGATGTTTTTGCATTCCGCATTTGGCTTATTCTCGACTCGGCAATGCTCATGATCCTGATTGAATCATATACATGTTCGCGAAAAAGAATGAAACGGAAGAGAGTTTGAATTTGGTGACCAATGTTATATTCCAATCCTTATGCCAACCTCTCGATAAACACGCCTGTCTGATGTACACTTTTATGATACCACCCGGTGTGTGTTGCACAGGACACATATAGAGGATGATGCAGAGCTGACTATGGAAGGTCCCGACGGCACAACCTATCAGGTGCATCATCAACGACCCGCCTGGTTCATGGACATGCTCAAAGAGATGGACGAATCCTAGAGCACGTATTTCTATTGAAAGATGGATGAATAATGGAGCACAGATTTCTATGGAGAGATGGGACGGATCATAGAGTACACATTGCTATTGAAAGATAGATGAATCATGGAGCACAGATTCAGATGAAGAGATGAGACGGATCATAGAGCACATATTGGTATGCGTGAACGACCGAGAAAAGCACAGACCTTGAAGAATCCGACCATTTGCACCGAATAAACGTGGGCCCTGTGTCAGGGAACGTTAAGTCGTATCGCAGTTGTATAGCGTTTGTTATGAGGATGTGACAATTCAAAGAGTTTACTACTGATGCCGAGTTTAGACCGGTTAGGTGTGCGTGCGTGTTATCTCCTACGATAGTAAGTACGCACTGTATCCGAATATATAGTGAATGCCTTCTCAGTTTAATTAATAGTAGTCAAGTTTCTGTATTACATCGTTTGATTTCACGGGACGAGGGCAGTGTCATACACACCAAGCTGCGCTGCGAGGAGTGGCCTTAATTTACAACATCGTACATCGATTCGCCGGATGGTCTTAACGTACCATATCGTATATCGATTCGTCGGAAGATTGTTGAGTGTATTTAGTTACCGAGGATTCTTCAGCTGGCAAATAAGTTCAGGCAGGTATAGGTAGTCAAGTGTACTTTTATGTGAATTGATTGGTTTAAAAGGCTCACAATGCATATAAGTAGCACGGCCAGCAACAAATCTACCACATGACTGGTTTCCGTCAAGATCTGGGAAATAGTTCGGCATCCTCCGCGGAAAAGCTACCTGTCAACACTTCGTCCGTCTACAAACTGTATAAGGCACATGCCACGGATTTGTAAGGTTGGAAGAGGACGAACAAAGGAAAAACGTGGCCTACAATTGTATCATCAGGAAGGATGTATGTGCAGTGCACCCCGATAGCATCACAATTTGTGTTTTTTTGCAGTCGTAGCGGTAGTATAGTTCGAGAGGCACCTTAAATGTATGGTACAGCATAACTATCCACAGATATATAATGAAATCCCAGAAGAATATAGCTGGCAGCACAAGACAATACGAAAGCAAATATGTATATATGAATGCATCTTTCCGGACTGAATGCAGCGCATGCGACGTACGTGTAAACCACATCAAAAACCGATTCCTTATGCAATCGTCTTGAGAAATGTGTCGTGTTGTATTGTTAACAAGGATGCAAGAACAAAAATTCATTGAGGTATGATAGAAGTATAATGTTGTCAGAATGCGACCACATTGTACCAGGCTTCGTCCCGTTCAGAAACAAATATGTATCGCTATTCGCAAAAGGTTAGGCGTCCATGGAAGCCCCACGCAACAGGTTACTAAGTAAGTGCACTCTTTAAACATGAAATGTATATTGTCCGGATACAGTTTTGAACACAATCGGCTATATTTGTTTACCTTGACCGACACAACAAATGTACTATATAGTTTCTCGACAATGAGACAATAAAGCGACCGGCTGCTACAGAATATATGGATAATTATCTCATAATGCTATCAGTCCCATCAGAAACCCAAAACCCATTTCGCATGTGTTCCTAAATATACATAAAAAATTAACTTCCTAAAATTGTAATTCAATTATTCATACATACCTCGCATATTTTTAGTAAATAGGTTTGTCGAATAGTTCTATCAAGTTGTAGTTCTCACTCTGCCTGCCGTATTACACATACCACTGTATTGTGAGCATATTGTAAGTTGTCTTCAGGCAGAGCAGAAGAATTCACAATGGCTTTCGTCAAGGATAGGAGAAGGCCGACTGGGCCACCTGTCAGCGTGATACCACCGTCTGTCACAGATAAAAAGGTAGGGTTGGGGCGAACGAGCCAGGGACCGTCCTCTTGTGTTCTAGTTTGTTTCAACAGATCAAAATTGTTGAAGATGAACTGGATGTAATAGTGAGCACTTGTAAATGCAAGTATTCGAACTAATTGTGTATGCATACATATTTAATGTTCATAAATTTCTTGCGTAAACATAGGTGTGTGTCAGCACTTCACACACACACACACACACACACACACACACACACACACACACACACACACACACACACACACACACAC